ATATATATATATATATATATATATATATATATATATATATATATATATATAAAACAGTAATACAGTTAAATATTTAGTTATATTGGTTTTTTCCTAACTAACTAATGGGCTATGGAAATTTAATGGCTTCCTGAGTTAAATGTGAGATTGCGACTTTTTTCTTTTTTTTTTTTTACATAAATACATTAATAAAAGTTGTTCTATTGATGTCTTTTAACAGTCGAAACTTTGAGCAATTAAAATTAAACATCATTCAGTAAATGATTTCGGCCCTCCAAAAGACCAAAACAGGAAAATTCACTTTTGGCTGAACATTTTTGGTGCATCACTAGTTCTTACAGGGCGGTAACTGTTTGTGCCTGCATGGTTTGAGTCCTAAATATTTTAGGTGGTCCTAGGGCTGTCCTCTGAGCTCCCCCATGGCCTGTCACAGCAGAGAGCAAATAGCAGGAGAGGGGGGAAACAAGGTTTATAACACCAAACACAAAGTGGGGGGAAAAAAAACAATGAATACTGTATATTTTGATTCCACTCAGGAACACAAATGGCGGGTTATCTCAAGATCGGAGGAGGGGCGACAGCTAATTGTGTTTTGCACCTTCAGATGCACAATAAAATCTGAGGTGATCAATTACTAGGTGGGGATACATTTTTCATGATCCTCTGTCAAAGGCAGGGCAGTGCAGGGGGCCCACGAGGACTCTAGGGCCAATCATGGGACGGCTGCTCGAAAGGGCAGGGGTGAATCCATCTGATGTTACAGAGGGAACAAAAGAGCTGCAGAGGTGAGCCGTTCAGCCAAACTGAGACTACCAGTAAACACATTTCATTCAGAGCACAAACAATAATAAAGGCGTTAAAAAGGAGTTTTCTGTAAACTGAGGTCATAAGCAGCAGTTTTACACTCAAACAACTGAAAGCAAAAATGCTTGTAAGTGTAAAGCTGCACTGATTAAGTGGGCGCAGGAGCACAGTCTGGGTGGTCACACTGCATGCCAGAGAGAGCCAAAACCAAGCACTGGGGGTTAAAAGAGTGAAACAGAAAGAGGCATCCACACCCAGGCAACTAGAGGTTATGAATGCATCACAGTAAGAGTGTAGAAGCACACGCTCACAAGCAGAGGGCGCTGCACAGCACACAATCACGAAAGCTCTGCTGCACGGCATTTGTGCTTCCTTTCTGCTTCAGCAACTGATTTTGAATTAGCTCTCCAACACTAGATTAAACTTTTGTCAACTATTAGGTTCTCTAAATACATCTGAGTACATGGTGATCGTGAGTAGGCTGCTATATGACGTTTGTGACAGATGGTCTGGTGGGCATACGTGCATATATGAGCATACTACTTTATTATTTTTTTTGCACTAAATGAAAGCAGAGTGCCTAATGTTTACAACAGCATAACTCTTGATCTGATCAAATCTGAGCACTGGGATATGGAGATATGTCGGCCAGAAAATTCACATGACTAAAAGGAATGATAATGCAGTCCTCAAACCCATCAAGGGTTGAAATGATGCTTTAAACTGGTTTGATAGCAGGGAAATATTTTTAGAGACTGATGCTTTAGCACATTTCTTTAGTAAAAAAATAAGCAAAAGCCCAACAGTCTAGATTCAGCAACCCTCTACACCCACCTTGTCAATATAATCGCCATTGGCTAGTACATTTTTTAGTTTACTCGCCAGACTGATATACCATTTTACACACACACACACACACACACACACACGATTCCACCAAATCAGCTTATCTTTGTAAAATGGCACAGCTTCTTAAATAACTGAATGTACACACTTAACTTCAGTCAATCAAACATTTTATTATGATATTATGATAATTAAGCACTATTTAATGATAGAACTTTAGTGATTAAAACTAAAACTTGTATGCATGAATATTTGTCATTTTAACTGAACATACAACTGGTGGTGATGCTTAAAGGGGTCATATGATGCTTTTTTAAAGATCATTATTTTGTCTATTTGGTGTAACAGAATATGTTGACATGCTTTAATGTTCAAAAAACACATTATTTTTCAAATACTGTACATTATTGTAGGTCCTCTATGCCCCGCCTCTCTCAAACGCTTCGTTTTCTACAAAGTCCCTCCTTCCGACAAGCGCAGTCTGCTCTGATTGGCCAGCTGACCCAGTGTATTGTGATTGGCCGAACACCGCAAGCACTCGTCGGAAATGTAATGCCCCTTACCATAATCACAAGCTTCATCTTTCAAAATAAATGTAAAGACAGACACAGTGATGAAGTTGGTAGCCTAGAAACACACAGCGTCTCCCTGACATGGCTGCTTGAACACTACCTGCGGTTACTGAAACCACGCCTTTTTTCTTTGCATGCACATTTAGGCCGCATTATGCAAATATTTCCACATAGTGAGGTAGATATGTGGGGGCGTGTTAGAACGAGTCGTTTTAGGGGGGCGTGGCAGAGTCTTAATTTTGATAAAGAATATCTCTTTGGTTTTGAGACTTTAGTCTTTGCAACTTCAGGGATCTTATCTGCACAATCAGCTTGTAACACTCCAAAGAGAAAGGAAAACTTGAAATCGCATCATATGACCCCTTTAAGATATTGTTGGTCATAGATAATAGTAATTCATTATTATTATTAAAAAATAATAATACTGCTACTACTATTATTATCTGCTGGGTTCATAAATATCAATAATGGTTATCAGCATTCGCTCGAACGGATTTGCTGAAATCAAAACAGGGCCAGCCAATGAAATTGCCGTTTGTGCATTAGTTCCGCCCACTACCGGAGAGGCCGGCATATCTTCCGCTTGTTCTTAAAAGCTGAATTATTCTAAATGAACTCCGTTATTTTGACAGGAAAATATATCACAAAGCAAACAGTTTACACATAGCGTGTCGATTCAGCGTGGTGTATAAGAGTCTCGCTGTCTCTCTTTGCATATGTGCATGTGCGAGTGAAAATTTAATTTATCTGTGCTAAACTTATAATTAGCCTCCATCTCACACACTGGCGAGTAAAATCTAATTTATTAGCCAATGGCTAACGATAGACATCATTTAGTCGCCCAGAGTAAGATTTAGTCGCATATGCGAGTGATTTACGCAATGTAGAGGGTTGTTCAGTTAAAAATGGCTCAGGAGATAACAATACTGTCCATCTGTGAGTAACGCATCACATCATCTGGTGTTATGAATTACTTTCTCTGCAAAGATTAAAAATACCATCTGAGTCATTAGAGTGGGGTGGGAGGTCATAAACTGCTAACCGGGATGAAACCGGAATAAAGTATGCAAGAATCCCAGACTGAATACTGGTGGTTTCGGTGTACTTCAGTACTAGCCTTAGTTCCATAAACATTTTCCCATTCATTTTATCCATAGAAATTCTTCAATTAAGAGCCAAAAAAAACAACAACAAAAAAAAAAAACAGCCAGCTTTGAGGTTAATCTGAACGAGGGGTGTAACTACACGTATTCGTACCAAAAATTTTCCGATACAGGTCTTCTGGTTAAGCACACATGTTGTGTACCAAGCAAATCCAGTGTTGTTTGACCACTGCACGTGCGGAACTTCTGTGTGCGGTACAGGTTGACTTAGGTACAATACTGTGTACTTAAAATCTGTTATGAGTGAATGAACTACAATCTCATGAAAGACTACCAATGGATAAAATTAAAAATTACAGTACAATATAATAGTACCGATTCATTAATTAGGTACAAAAAAATTATAATAATTTTGAATATTTAGAAGTCATTCTGAAGTCACTGAAGATAATGCCTCACTTATGCTGAAGAAACTGCTTTTGTGCAGAAACTAGCTTGTAACGCAAGACACAGACTGCCTGGGTGCTAATTTTCAACAATGTTTGCATGACATTCTTTTGGTATTCACAAGAGAATCTCAGAGCTGATGGCAGATTTCGGTTTCTCTATGGAGAAAATGAATGGGTTTTTTTACATCTGGAGCCCGACTGTGGTGCTATGTTTGAATAATACCACATTGCTTTTCAATTACACACTTCAAGAGCCTTTGCTAAACATCTGACTGCTTCATCTGAATTACAGTTGGGAATGAAGTCTCTCTTCATTCCGTGTGTTGAGTGCTGAGAGATTGTGTGTGTAACAGCCGTACAGCAGTGGTGTGGGACAGGGAGCCACCTATTACTTAATAGAGGGCAGTGGAGGTAGTCCAGGTAAAGAATAAATTAATTATAAAAAAAAGACCCAACTGTCACTCACCCAATGCTGTCTCTCATACCAGAACATGGCGAGCATCTACTTGCCGTGGTGATCATAGGGAATGCTATTCTGAAATGGGTGGGCGAGTGGAGTGGGAAACATATTCATACGTGATGAAAAAAAATCAACAACAATGTGGTAAACACCTCAAAAAATGCGGATCTGAACAGAAGCGTTAACAGCAAATATTCAAATCACCAGAGACTCTCTAGACAGAATTATGACTCTGGGCAGCATTTCAAGAATGTGTGACATGTTCTGAAAAGAACTCTACACAAATAAGAGCCAAAATATGTGGCAGTGGTTACACAATACAGGGCTCAACAATAAGGATAGCCCAATGCTTGCGTTTCAACTATCCTTACATTTATAAATTATGTAATGCTTGCTTTGCAAATGATACATTTTTGAGTTCTGTGATGTTTGAACAATGTCGTTTGCAAATTCACCCATTTTAAATATGTCAGCAATGCAATGTGACTTAGCTGGCTGACAGCGATATAGAGAGAGTGATTTGTGCTAGTCTTGAAAGAGCCATTTAAATAGGTTTGAAAAACAAATTTTTTGCACCGCATTCCATCATTTTACAGCAAAAATACTTTGTTTTGTGCTTTTTGTCTGTAAAAATGTTACATATATAACTGAAAAAATCTCAGAAATAAGTATTAAGCATTTATAAAAAATACATATATAATAATAATTGGATTAAGAGAAAAAAATCATTATTGTTGAGCCCAACAATATCAATAATAAATAATAACAACAACAATAATAAAACCGAGTACAAAGGGAATGAAGAAACCTTCCTTACTTCCTTATTCTTCAAATCCTACTAAGTTATTTACCAAAGTAAAACGACCTGAGCTGCATTTCCCAAAAGCATCATAACCATAAGTAGATCGTAGAACCATTGCCACCAATGGTCTCTACGATGCTTTTGAGAGACACAGCCCAGGTTATTTACTTTTATTGTACGTCTTCTACATCTACTCACATACTGTCCATTTCACCGCTGAACACAAATTTAAAGATAAGCTATAAAGCATGTATAGCCCAAAAACACCTTTCAGAGCAGAGTGCTTTTATAATGGCATGCTAACAGCCCTGTAAACCATGACACCGGCTCCATATCATGCCAGGCCACAGCAGACAAAAGCTCCATCTGAGCACTCTTTCATGGCTGTCACTCTCTATTAGGGGTGTGCCATATCATACCGTCCATGATAATACCGGTATAAATTTTTACATGATAAAAAATGTCATATCGCGATATCAATGATATAGCGACGCGATGAAGTATGGTGCATTTACGTTCCCTAGCGCGCACAACAACACCACCACCACCACAAACCCAATAGGCATGTTTGAGATGAGCAAAATCTGCGCAGAACCGATCACCGGTGATCACCGCGAGATGCATGCCAGTTAGAAAAGTGTCCGAGTTACGTCCGACTTGCTCTGATGCCATGCTGACATGTGCCAAAAAACTCTAGTGACGGCAAAGCGGATTGCGCAGTCGCGTGCAGTCGCTCTCCACTGACTGCGCTGATCAAAAGCATGATTTTCCTCATTTATTTTCATATAAAGCAACAGAACTGAAATTATATCATGTTTATCATCAGCACAGCACGTGAGTGAGAATAACGCGATATCCACCTTTGATCTCGTCGGTATCTGTTCCACTTCGAGAGGTCAGAACTGTCCGTCTTGACTGCGCTTATTTCACTCCCCCCCTCACTGCAGTCGCCTACTCTCGCCTTCATTTCAGGTGAGGCGAGGCACATCTCAAACAAGCCTAATCTGACCGGTGTATGACATCAAAGTATCGCGAGAGCGGTTCTACAGTAGAGCATATTTGAGCGCACACTCTTACCATCAAAAATAGGCAAGGCGCCTTTAGCAAAGCGGAGCGCAGCTGGTGTAAACACAAGCAATTGATTAGGGTGGCCGTGATCAGCTCCGGTGGCCGCGTCGGAGCCGTAACGTGCCGCAGACGCGTGCAGTGTAAATAAGGTGTAAGTCACTCTCGCAGTATTTTGACGTCATACACCGATTGGTCTGCTTCAAGCCAAACACACAGCTGCTGCTGCCACCTTATGACAATAGATTTACACTTCGAATTAGGTAGTCTGTCATCGATGACAGTAGCTCATTGGAAAAGGATGGAAAATGCCCTTCATTTTGTTTGCACTAATAAATGCTGCTGCCTACCAGCAGTAATCACCAATAAAACGTGGCTTCATATTTTTTTCTATATCGCCATAAATATCGTTATCGCAAATATTCTTGAAATATCGTGATATAATTTTGAGGCTATATCACCCACCCCTACTACTCTCTATCATCTTTTCCTTTGTCTCTCTGCTGGAAAGCAATTGTGGAGGAGTTTGTTTATAAAGGTTTTCTAACCAAAGTGATCCCTTTTGTGGACTGGAAATAAAAAAGGGTCATTTAGGAGCAGTGGAGCTGGGGCTGAGACTGTCAATGCTGCCAAACACACAGGCACCAGTGGGCAAAAATGAATTTCATGTTACAAAAAAGTATTTCATCTTATAAATATGGTACCTGTGATGTGGACATGCGTGAGGTGTCCTGTCGGCCAGTTAGATCGGAGGAGGAAATGTTGACAGGGGCTCCACGGTGCAATCTCATACTGACCTTCCTCTCTCGCTCCATTCCTGGCAAAAAAGAAAGAAAGAAAGGAAGGAAGGAAGACGCGTGTCATCTAAAGCATGGAAAATGGAAAAAAATTGGACACTGACACCACAAACTGGGCCATGTCCACCTACACAAAAATCCTTCTGTTTTCCAACGTCTGAACCACTAAGTAATTACACCAAACTGGAAACACTACATTTAACTTTGAGCTCTACAGAGAATAAACGTTATTTTAATTAAAGAAACTGAAGTTTACTGTGACTCCGGTAGAGGTGACATATGGTGGGTTTATGAGTCTATGTGCTCAACTCCTTGAGTGCTAATTGAGGCCATACTCTTCTAGGCTGCTAACAAGAGCAGTGCAGGGTCACTGTTTAAATGTCTTTCTTGTAGAAATGTGTGTGAGAACCTCCACCCTTCGATAAAGCAAAAGCTAGTAAATTTAAGTCATGTCTAGCAAACATCCTGCTGAGCATAGTAGCTTGCAACCCTTTAACCACTTCCTGTCAGATAAGACGTCAACAAATGGCAGAAAAAAAATAGCTGATGAATACAAATCTGTCTTGATCCGAAGCACTGAAGAGAAAGAAAACCCTTGTGTATCTTGCAAATCAAAATAATCCTTATGTACGAACAAAAAAGATCCTCAGATGTTTGCATCATAAACATGTCTGATTTTACTTGAGTTAAAAACAAGCACCAACAGGCAGCAGTGGATGTCTTACCTGTGTGTGAGGTTGGCGTGAGGGGTGTGGGAGGTGCTACTTCTTGTGTTCCTCTGGGTCTACCTGAGCTGGAAGGCATCACTCCACGGGCAGCAGGATTCCGTCCATGTCGCAATCTTTCCTCTCGATCCCTCCGCTCTCTCTCCGGATCTTCTGCCGCTCTGTTTGCACCCTGAAAAGCACAACACATTATAAATGAAGAATTAAAAGATTAGTTCCTTTCCAGAATAAAACATTCCTGATAATTTACTCACCCCCGTCGTCCAAGATGTTCATGTCGTTCTGTCTTTAGTCAAAAAGAAAGTAAGGTTTTTGAGAAACCCCTTGATCCCCATTGAAGTCCACTATATGGAGAAAAATCCTGGAATGGTTTCCTCAAAAACCTTAATTTCTTTTCGACTGAAGAAAGACATGAACATCTTGGATGACATGGGGGTGAGTAAATGATCAGGAGATTTTTATTCTGGAAGTGAACTAATCCTTTAAAGCTTTAAAAGACCACCATAAAAACCAACAAAAATGTAAGGAATACGGCATGCATGCAAAGACAACTCATATGATACTCACAAATTTAAGCATATTCCAGTCAAACACATAGTCGTATGAAAAGCCTTGTCTGTGGAAAAGGTTCCTGAAGAGCTGTCTCAGGTAAGAATAGTCTGGCTTGTCGTCAAAGCGAAGGGAGCGGCAAAAGTTGAGGTATGTGGCAAACTCAGCTGGAAATGAACAAAAGGCAAATTAAATTAAATTTATGTTTTGTGGCTTTCAGTCAGTTTGGTCACATTTGAAGTCATCTACATAACTTTTCAAAAGTTTAGAGTTGGTAAGATTTTTTTCATGGCTTTAAAATAAGTCTCATATACTCACTAAGACTGCATTTATTTGAAAAATAAAAAATAAAAAACGTATTATCATTAAACTGTCCAACCAAATGCTGTCGTCTTCCACCTGCCTCCAACTAGCAAGTAGCTTATAGTCTGTGGCTGCGATGTAATGTAGTTTAAGCCTATTGGCTACTTAAAAAAACCCTTATATGTATAAACAGAACTTTACATGGGTATCCTTTACACAGGACTTCAATAGGAGTGGACATTTTCTTCTCGCTGATTCGCTCATACTTCTGTCTCTTTGTGGCAGCCTTCAGACCCTGCCATGGCAGAGAGCCCAGGTTGAAGTACATGAGCACATAGCCAAGAGACTCCAAGTCATCTCGTCTGGATTGCTCTGTGAAAGAAAACACAGACGATAAACACTGTATGTCATTAGGATGGCCAGACTATAACAGGTGTAGTGGCTTAATCATAAATGTTAGGGTGATGACAGGTCAAGTCTGAAAATACAGGAGGTTTCATTATTATATTATTATTATTATTATAAGTCAGGGTACCTATTCCCAAGTGGGTGTTGATGGAAGCGTAGCGAGCAGTGCCAGTCAAGTTTTTGTTCTCGCGATAAGGGATGTGCTGGTGGGTGCGAGCATCTCTGTACTTTTTGGCCAGGCCAAAGTCAATGATGTAAACAAGGTTGCCCTTCTTCCCCAGGCCCATAAGGAAGTTGTCGGGCTTGACATCTCTGTGGATGAAGTTCTTGGAGTGTATGTATTCGATACGGCTGATCTGAGGACAGAATAGAGGACAGGTTCAGCATGTCGAATGACTGAATGAGAGACTCCATGCAAACCTAACACACCAATTCAAATAAAGCAATGAGGGCATGATAACCGCTGAACAAGCAGTCCTTTCACATTATGCCTCCTTTCACAATGCATCTTGGCACTAAATACTCATTCAAACACAAAGTGAAAAAGGAAACTGGCTGTCGAAGTAAAGCAGCTGAAAAGATGACAGTAAAGCTTGTCATGTCACCAGAACACCACTTCCTGGAGTCATTATCCCGTTTTGGGTGTCCTATGATTCTGACTCAAACTAGCTCTTTTTCATCAACCAACTTCAGCAAGATCTTGGGGCCTTAAGATTGCATCAGGAATCTTTTTCAGACATACGCAAGTATCAAACTTAGTCGATTTAATTGATGCATTAAGTATCAGTTACACCTTTTTACAAGGTTTGTTTGAACTAAGAATCTGACGTTTTCCCTCAGGTTTTAGATCTGCTGAATATGCAAAATGGTTCCATAAATGTCATTCCTTATGTCTCTTTCTTTAGTGCTAAATTTTAACCCTTTCCTATACCAACTGTATGTGTGTGTGTGTGTATGTTTATGTTAGACCGGCTTAATGTGTTTGTGTAGTATGTTAGACTAGTTTAAGTTTTTATGTAGTTAATAAAACCTTACTTGTATCACACTTGGCGTGTTCATTGTTTACTCATAACCGGAGTCAATAATCATGCAGATTTACGTTACAAACTTATAGAGTTGTACAGTAAGAAAGTTATTTCCTTTAACCAGGAAATTAACGTTCTTAGAATTGACAAGACGGTTGACCCTGAGTGGTCAGCTAAATATCTACAGTGGATCTAAAATATTAATAATTAATCATAATTAGTTATGGTTAATTATTCATATTTCCCCATGAGCTAAATTCGCTACACAAGAGATGGTAGGGTGGAGAGGACAAAGGTTACAGAGATCATGTCTACAAGCCTTACCATCTGGTCAGCCAGCAGAAGAACAGTCTTTAGGCTGAACTTGCGAGAACAGAAGTTGAAGAGATCCTCCAAACTGGGTCCCAGCAGCTCCATTACCATCACATTATAATCTCCCTCTGCTCCACACCATTTGATTGTTGGGATACCGACTGTAAAAGAAACAATTACCATTAGTAGAGAAGTTTTTTTTTCTAAAAGGGAATGCGGTTTCGGAAGGAAATGTTTAACAACCAAAAGGATATTTAAAGTTTAAAATACTGAATAGAGGGGAAAGTTTTACTAATACGTATTTGTATCTTTGAAGGTCTGACAGACGGAAACTGAAGGTGACCTACAACATAATAGGTGGGGGGTTGGAAGCCCGTTTGTTTCAGTAGGACAGCAATGTAATAAAACCTAAGGAGAGATTCAGCTTAAGTAAACCAGCAGCCCTGTTTGGTCACCCTCTGAAAGGGCTCTAACTCATCAGCCATAAAGCATAAACCATCTATAGAATGACCTTGAAATGATACGCAAAAAGATATAGGCTGTCAGGGAAAGACAGTTGATACCTAATTAGATCACTTCAAGGGCATTTTCCTGCCCACTCTCACCATTCAGCCACACGTGAACCAGAAAAGGCAGCTGTCACAAAACTACAATATAATTTAAATTTGTACTGATACAATGGATGTTGAATACACAATCCTCCAGTTAAGCAAAGAAGCCTCTTTCATGTGATTCAATTATAGCTACCAGCTAATTTTCAGAAATGACACCAAATTCAAATGATCAATGCATACGGTTGGAATGAACCCTTATCAATTTGGGTAATTTACGTAAGTAACTGGAAAAATACATGTTAAAAATTTTAAGTGAGATGTTAAAAATACAAATGTTTAATGTAACTTTACAAAAAAATAATGTAAAAAGCTACAGTAAAACCTGTTAATCAATACTTTATGGTTTCTGCAGGTAAACACTATACTGTATAATTTATGGTGAAAAAAGGACATTCTCAGAAGTTATTTAAAAAGTTCTTATTTTTGAGTAATGTATATTAATTTTTAACATTTAATTGATTTTTCCGTACATTTCTGCCATATGTACATTAACTGACAGTCACCACTGATAAGCTACTACTAAATATTTTAGAAACTTAATTTTCTGTAAAGTTGCTTTGCAATGTTTTGTATCGTAAAAAGCACTATACAAATAAACTTTAATTGAATTGAATATTAGGGTGTTTACATTTTCTGTTAAATGTTGATTGCATTTTTTTAGTTTGTGGTGTGTTACCCTGATTGGTGTTTGGTCTTTGTGTGTTTGAATACAAATACTGGCCATGTTTTATAGACCGGCCACTTACGATGACCTAATCATGTGGCTTTCTATTTCACCGCCCGTATCATGGTGGATATCAAAGCAGATTTTGGTACTTCAAATACTTTAAAATTAAATTAATTTATGAATGATATGTTTACAAGTAGAATACACAGGCACCATTATACCCTCCAGTAATACCTGAAATAATAACAGTATATTATTATTGAGAAATCACACGAAATCCAAACAGCAGTCGACTGAGGAAAAGCAGCTGTCCATTACTGCATTCACGACTGCAGGTAAGCGCAGCTGTACCGAGTGAGCCGAGAAGAGAGCTTATCTGATAGCCAAATGATCTTGATACGTATGCTTCCTTTAAGTTTCCTCAAGGGAGAGTGCTTTAAGAACAGAAAACACAAAGCGCTACAAGAACCGTTGCTTAGCACACCATTATATTTGTGTCTCTGGAACGTCTGTAAAAACCTTGAGATATAACAAATTCAAGAATATTCAAATATTCGTTTTTTTTAAGAGCCCAAATATTCAAATACACTATTTTTGAAAAATGCCCATACCCAAAAAAAAAATTTTTTTAATAAAGTAAATTCCTGGCAACCACAGCTGCCTGTTTTCCCCACTGTAAATTTAATGGCATATATTTTAATGTTTTAAGGTTTTTTAATGCTACTCTTCTAGACAAACAGCCTAGGCAAGTCTAATGTCTTTTAAAGATTTGTTCAGGATTATCGAGGAGAGGAAGACAGAGAGTTCAGCAGCGTTCTGGCAAGTCAGAGATCTCTCGGCAGCTGCGGTCATGTCTACGGTCGTGTGCACCCTGAGCCTGGCCACTACCTTCAACAACACAGAGTTTTTGCTGTTCAGCACTTTCCAGAAAACATCCTCCAGGTCAGCTATTCCTGTGCAAACTCAGGAGGTTAAATATATCTCCTGGCCTGAGCCGTCCAGCACGCCTCTCCATTCTCACATCAGCACAGCACTGACACAGTCTATATTAATAGGAATTAAAATAGAAAAATGCCAAGCCTTGTGCTTCTCCATGTATGGATTTGAAAAAGTGTAACTGTGGTGCTAAAACATGCAGAAATAATAACATAAGAAAAAACATTAAAGGTTTCCTTTCTACCTACAAAATTCATGTATATACCCACACCTTTCTCGATGTAACGTCATCAGTGTGTATGCTTGTTCATGCTATGCTAAATAAGGCTGCGAGTGGTGCAAGAGACCCAGTTAGGAGATGGAATGCACAGGGCCGGCCCCTCCCCCCCAACCCACTACCCTCCGCATGCACCATCTGGCCCGGGGTCCATGTGATCATGGAGAACACAAGCGCTGAGAGGGAGGCTCACTCAGAATGTCAGTCTGTCATGGCACGGATACCATTGCAAAGTTTGGCCGCCGCAGAGCAAACGTCATGCATGCTCAGTCATGCTGGGAGCGAGCGGACAGACTAGAGCATGTTTGAAAGCGAATGCCGTAGACGACACACTTTTGCTGCTGGCCACATAAAATACCCCCGACAGGACTATCATAGATCTATCTAGAATAAAAGCAATCGGGGCCAAACCCAGCGGGGGCCGGTGGGGGGGATGCATCCTTCAGGCACCTCATGTATATTCATAAACCATCACCATACATTACAACAGAACCAAAATTTCAACAAAACTGTGATTTTGTAGATTGATTACAGGATGATATGATGCAAAACAATGCTGAAGACACAAATTGCCTACTTCCTTTACATCCATGCAAGGCCAATGAGAAGACAATTCATGGTGCTGACAGAACGCTGAGAGTAGTTTGAGATCTGATAATGCCACTCTCATTGGAGAAGGATGTGTTGACTCACTGACTGATGATGCGAGGGGGAACTGGTCACGATTGGTTTGCTGCCCACTGTTGCTACAGTATTCTGTAACACCATCTAAGAAATAGAGATCCTGTGAACTACGCCTTACCTTCAGCGAACGCTCTTACTCAACAAAAGAACTACATTAAGCCAACATAAAATGGTCATCATTCAGAGGCTTTTAGAGGCTAATATTACTAACCAGGGATCAACAGGAAGAATATATAGTAGTTCGTGTTTTAAATTTCCACTGGCCCCAGCACAAAATGATAAATTGTTTCCTATATGAACATTCAAAAGTTAGGGGTGAGTAAGATTTAATTTTTTTTATATAAAATAAATTAATACTTTTATTCAGCAAAATATTCATTTCTCAAACAAATGCAGTTCAACTTTCTATTCATCAAAGAATTCTGGGCAAAAAAAACAAACATCATGGTTTCCACAAAAATATTAAGCAGCACAACTGTTTTCAAGGTTAATAATAAGAGAAAAATTAGCAACAAATCGGCCTATTAGAATGATTTCTGAAGGATTATGTGACACTCAAGAATGGCGTAGTGGCTGCTGAAAATTCAGCTTTGCCAGCAGAGGAATAACTTACATTTTAAAATATAATTTAAAAATAGAAAAGTTATTTGAAATTCAAATAATTTCCCAATATCACAATTTTAACTGTATTTTTGATCAAATAAATGCAACCTAGGCGTGCATAAGAGGCTTCTTTCAAAAATATTTAACAAAATACCAACCTCAAACTTTTGAATGGTAGAATGTATTTTCATTTTTGCTTAATGTTGAGCGCTGCTTCCAACATTTCATAATATGATTAAAATGGTGCTCTATCAAACGGCCTTTCAATACAAAGCAAAATTCTGTTTACAATTTTAAAAAAAAAACGAAAACTAATAAGGTAAATATCAACTTAACACCTAACAGTTCATATTAAATATTTTAGTTTGAAGAGTTTTATTTTCCACAAAAGAACAAGTATACAGGCTCTTATGTATGTGGCAGCAGTGTGAGGTGTGTACGTGTGACTCATAAGTCTGTGTTAATGGAGAAGCCGGATGGAGACCACGAGGAGCTGCTGATGGAGTGTGGAAACACGTACCGCCTCCTTGCATCATCTTGTAGATCTTGCTCTCGATGTGCAGCTGTGGGTGCTTCGTTTTCACACATTCTAGCTTGATGGCTACTTCTTCCCCCACCGAGATGTCTGTGCCTGGAAAATCAGAAAAGAGGGGAGATGGAAGTCAGTTACACAATACATAGCCAAAGAGAAAAGCGAAAGACTGATAGTGGATGGAGCAGCAACCAAATTACCCGATATATTTAAAGTAAGGAGCTTTAATAAAAAATATCTGCTCATGTACCTGTGACGTATAATATACGCATACATGAGCATGAGAACATTAAATCCACTCAACTAGAGAGGCTTTGCCGTGTCTAAATACGCTTTAGCTTCCAGTGCATTATGAGTCATTGGGACACAATTAAATACGACAAAAAAATAATAATAATGAATATGCAGGCCCACTATGATTAAAAAATTCTACATATCTAAGGTTGACTCACGTACACAGCTTTCCAGCATGAGGGAGTGGGCACAATTATCAACGCGTACTGCTATACCACCTCCTTTCCGGCCCACCATCTGTCTCAACTCCACATCCTGAGCAGAGGATGCTGAAAATCATCCAGTCATCTACTGTAACAGACACCCAATGAAACAACACTGTGGCATTCCCAAGGACTAGGCTATGCGTATGTTATGCCTGAGGGATGTGACATGAAAGGCAGGATGAAAAGAAAAAAAAAAAACACACACACACACAGTGAACTTTCCTCCCTCTCTTAATCAGAGGCCAGAAACTGATGTGCTACCTGAACCCAGTACTGCTCTTCTGGCCTCTAGACTGTGGACCATTCTTACTCTGTAATAAACTGTCATATGCCCCTTTTCCACTGACACCAGAAATCAATCTGAAACCATTTCCACAGGAAATACAGATGCAGATGCAGGTGGTCTACAATAAAGCAACAAATATCATCTGGGTAAATTGACTGATTTGAATTGTACCATGTTGTATAATAAAACAGGTGAAAAACTAGGGCTGCACGATAAATCGAAATGGAATCGAGATTGCAATTCGATAGAAGCTGCGATTGTCATGCGTATCTTTCAGTGAACCACGGTTCTGTGATCAGCAGTAAATCTCCATCCAAAGGCCAGAGGGCGCTCTCGCGCTGAAACTCCAAAAACGCCTCACAGAAGAAACCCAGAAAATGCCTATCCCTGCAGCTGAATAAAAAGAAGATTCAACTGCTTTCATGGATTTAACGTGACTAATAAACACACGACTACGGCAATATACGGTTTATCCGAGTTCTTCTTCTTATAATTTTCATTAAAATAAAGTTTATTTATAATGCAATGCCTTTATCACTGCTTAAATACTATGAAATATGTTGCGTGCCTTATTCTGTGTAAGAAGCCACATCATCTCACAGAAGGATTTATTTCAAACACTCGACTGATGTTATGAAGTGAGTTTGGAGTAAAAATTTTATTAAATGTGATATTTTCACATGCTTTCAGATGGAGCAGCATTTACTTCACATAGCCGTAGTTCACTGAGAAGCTATTGCAAACAGCTGTCATTATCGCAAACGATTTCTTTGATTTCAGAATCGCGATTTTTTTTGCATAACTTGTCAGTGAACTACGGCTATGTGCAGTAAATTCTGCTCCATCTGAAAGCACGTGATGATGATTTCCTGCTGATTACAGAACCGGCATTACTATCAAAATGCGCATGACAATCGCATTCGATTAATCGTGCAGCCCTAATATATATATATATATAT